CTCCACCTACTCTCTCTCTATATATATATATCTTTCAACCTGTCTATATTCTGTTAAGTCATTGGCCAAAAGCAGCTTATTTATTAACCAATGGCAATAAAACATGTTTACAGCATACATCACTTACCTCATAACCTACACTTTTCTGTCTAAATAAAAAGGAAGGTTTTAACTTTAACACAGCAAGATTATATATAACAAAACAGATATCAAACAAGAATTAAAGTTATAATACTTTTTATCTGCTTTGTCTTTTATCAAAATTAAGAAAAACCGTAACTATATATTTTTCAACTCCATCAAAAACTCCAAAATGATATAATATTACCTAAGTAAACAGGAGGTTCATAAGAAACTTCCAAAACTCTAGAATTAGCAGAGACATCTTGCTGCCTGGACAGACATCCCAAGTTCATCTGTAATGTTGTGAGCACCCATGTTCAGTCTGCTGGCCCATAGTATCTGGCAGACTTTTCTAAAAAGCAGGGAATTTCAAAGACAGTTCCACCTATATTGGCAGTTTGTTAATCACTTTCTTCTGTCTCCTGAAGAATGTCTGGCAGACTTTTCCATGGAGCAGGAACCTTAAAAGACTGTCTCACCGTCTTCAGGCAGCTTCAGTAATCATTTTTCTGTGATTCCTGCAAATCCAGTCAAGCAATTCAGGCAAGAGTAGTTTGTTGCCCAAATGACTAACAAACTACATAAGAAACTTCTTCAATACCCATCATCCTCTTGAAGTAGATTGGTACTGCCAGGATCAGATGTGTCTCACTGTCATGAAAACTCCTAAGTTCTTAAAACATTTTAGATGTCATATTCTGAAGGTCTCTGAAAGATTTGAAGAATACCTATCTAACTGAAATATATCTCTAAATATCTAGAAAACCTAACTAACATGACTACAAGTTTGACTATTATAAGAGATTATCTGTTAACCTATATTTCTTAATTATACATTACATTTTTAAATGAGCTACATAAACATGCCTTAATCAAGAGTAGAAATACACATATAACAAAATTAACTTAAAATTTGTATCAGTAGATCAAGATCCATACCATAACAAAATATTCATATTTATAGCATATCCCCTTTAAATGTAAACAAACATTTTAAAACAATATTTGGGACGTTGGGCATTGTTGTCTAGACTACTTCCTGCTGATCGGTGGCACCATTAATTAGGTCTGTCATGGGGTATCCTGTGTGGTCGGTTCATCTCAGCGAGCAGTCCTGAAGTCACAATGGATGTTGGACGAGCTGAGTCATTGTTTCCAGGGGGTCTTATTTAACCAAACCACATAGTCTGGAAGGAATCTATAGATTCTCATCCTCTGGAAAAAAAATTAAAACCTCTTACCCAAATCAATATATTCTTAGACCTAAATTTTAAAATCAAGTACCTTTAAAGTATATATGTTGGTTTAACTTATTAGCCTTTACAATGAAATGCCTCTCTGTACTTAGCTCTTTTACTGTCAAAAAAGTCAAATAAAACACAATAACATACATAATACAGATTCTCTGTGTATATACCATCCTTACATTGCTTATTATTCTTTACTCTTTTAATCTATGTCTGTCTATACTCTGGCTTCACCCAGTCCAACATGACAGAGGCATGTTCACTGCCTCTGCCAGCTGCGCACACTGCCCCAGTTCCAGGTATACAGTGGGCCTATGTTGCACAATTAAGCAGTTTATAACACAGTATATGTTATGTATGTCTGGCTGAGATGGACAGACCACAGAGGATACCCCATGGCAGACCTGATTAACAGTGCTACCAGTCAGCTTGAAGTAGTCTAGACAGTAATGCCCAAATTAAAATTAAAGTTCAAATTAAAATTAAAGATTTTACCTTTTTTTTAAAAAAATTACTTCTTATTATAACTGTCTATATCCTTTTCCTTTTCTTTCTCACACCTGTGTACACTTATTCAACACTGTGACCCATTTAGAGGTCATTCATATATGGATTTGTCTTTATTTTGTATCTGTAATCCTTTTCTGACCAGAACAACTTTTTAAAATGTTAAGCAGCATGACTAGGACTAAGTCTGCTTTGCCTTTCGGCTTCACCCAGTTTAACACGGCAGAGGCATGTTTGCCACCTCTGCTAGCTGTGCACACTGCCCCAGTTCCATGTATACAGTGGGTCTATGTTACACAATTAAGCAGTTTATAACATGCTATTCATAAACCCCATTTAAATATTCCATAGCAGGACCTCCTAAAACAGTCAGAGCCATTTGTGCTGGCAAACCAGGAAGTCGACTCCTAAAGAAGCCTCAGCTTTCCTTACCAAGATAAGGCAGAAAGACATATCTTAAAGGAGACATGGTGAGCCAGAAAACAGAGCCTATCCAAAAAAAAATGTTGGCTACCAAGAAGCTATGCTTAACTCTATTCTTCTGTATCTAAAACTCCTTCCCAAGTTCTCTCAGGTTTTACATAGATGTAGTCAGCCTCGCGTTGGTGTGCCAATTTGTTGGTGGAGGTTTCTGTCCTGCTGGTTCCCAAATAATCTGTTCTTGGAGGCTGCTTGTTCATTTCCCAGCCACCCAGATTCCAGAAATAATCACACAGAAATCTGTATTAACGGCAATACTGTTTGGTCAATAGCTTAAGCGTATTGTATGTATATACATGTGTGAATATTGACATTGAACCAAATGTAGATAACTATATCATGCAATTTTATCATTTCAGTAAGCACAGTGTTTTCAATGGTAATAAATAGAAACTGTCATGGTCATGATCACTTGGATTAAAATAAATAAATAAATATAAGGACTAGAGAAGACGATGTGTTTAAAATTACACACTATATAGATGTATATAAATAGACTACAAGAATATACAGTCAGGCATGAAAGGTTCCTGGCTACAGGGATAAGGTCTAATATTAGAGGCAGAACTTCACAACTACTGGTGGATTATCTACAGGAACCTCTATATAACTGTGAATACTCAAGTGTTTTATGTAATATGGTGTATTATTTGCATAGTTCATGCATCTGTCTAGTATCTTTAAATTGTTTTTATGGTGTGTGTATGTATGTTTGTATGTGTACTTTGTGTCTGCATCTGTATGTGTGCCAACATCTGTGTGTGTATGTGTGTGTGCATACATGTGAAAGTTGGAAGACAATTTTCAAGAATTAATTTCCTCCTTCTACCATCATAGGTTTCAGGAACCGAATTTAAGTAATTGCATTTGTCAGCAAGAACCATTTACCTGTGAACCTTTCTGCCAGCACTCATAGCCTTTAAATAGCCTCTTGATGACTCATAACTAATACAACTCATGGTTCAGGAAATAGTTGTCATACGAATATTTGGGGGATTATTGCCTAGAACTGTCTATATATTGTCACTACAGGTTCAATTTTCAAATATTTTAAAAAATATTCTGTGCTTGATTAGAGTTGTGGGTATGGAAACAGCAAATAAGTAGGGTCAACTGTATACTTTTAAAACATCCCTTAGCACCTATTGCTTACTCGGTTCTTGATTTTATTACCTAAGAGGAGATTGAAGAAGGAGGGAGGAAGAGAGGGAAATGGGGAGGTGATGTGGGATTCCCCTCTGTATGCTATGAATATCATTGGCTACTAAAGAAACTCCTATGGATCTACAGGAGGGCAGAACTTATCTAGTTGGGAAAAACTAAGCTGAATCCTGGAAGGAAGAAAGACAGAGTCAGAGAGCAGCCATGGAGCCACCCGAGACAGATGCTTGTTGGAATCTTGCTCTTAAGCCACAGCCACATGGAAATATATAGATTAATAGAAATGCATTAAATTAACATGTAAGAGTTAGCAAATAAGAAGCTAGAGCTAATAGGCCAAGTAGTGATTTAAATAATACAGCTTATGTGTGATTATTTTGGAGCTACGTTGTCAGAAACCAACAAATGGCCTGCTGCTACAGGGAGGCAAAGGGAAAGATAACCAACTCTTTCCTTCTGACCTCAGGATAAATCTAAAACTGTAATTAGATCTAGAAGATTCTGGAGAGAGAACAACTTAACATGCTATATGATACACATCTTTGTCACTTACCTTACAGCTGCATTACTCATGACCCCAGCAAAAGCCCCTTAGGGAGACCAGAGAAACTGAAGGGCAGGGCTACTGTTTGTCGTGTAAGCCTTAGTACAATTAGAAAGATGCTGTTAAATGAAAATCCTGGATGCTTGTTCCTTTGAGTTTCATGTGCTGCCTCAAAATAATGTGCACATTGTTGTTCCCATCTGCCCCTGAACTATACAATGGTGGACCACACAGACCCTTTATAAGGCCCTGAAGTTTTGCAACATCTATCCAATCTCATCCTGCATATTTATTCTTATGCATTGTAGTTCCATGGGCCAGAGAAGAAAGTAAGCTTTTCTCTACTCCTTATATACTTTTCTAAGAAAAGCCTAGAAATACTGATTCAAGCAATGGTTCGGAAGGGGAAAAGCTTGTTACATGTGGCAATACTTCCTTCGGAATAAAATGGCAGAATTAACATATATTGAGTACTTCCTTGCTCTGACTTTCAAGGAAGCCAAACCTATTCTCAGAGTTTTGTTTTTCCTGAATTTTGGATTCATATTTCTGTCTCCAGATTTAATTAGAATCAGAGATTGATTTATTTCAAGAGCGAATTTTTCTATCTGTTGTTTGGATTAACACCCACAAATTTAGGGTTATATCATAAGTCCAATCTATTCTCCTGTGTCTACTCCTTGCCAGGATATACTCAACTTTCACCTGTTATTGTTTCACTGCTGGTGGGTTCTCCACATTCATTGACCCTACAACACCATTCCACAGAAATCATGTCTCTCAGACTTGTAAATCAGCAGCAGGAGATTTGGATCATCAATTCAAAACACTGACTGTTTAGCAGGGTGGCCGTGGTGCATGCCTTTAATCCCAGCACTTGGAAGGCAGAGGCAGGTGACTCTCTGTGAGTTTGAGGCCAGGACAGGCTCCAAACCTACACAGAGAAACCCTGTTATTAATCCACGTATCAGCACATGCTAAGGAAAGCAGAGGGGAAACATGACAGAAGAAATGATTGATGGTATTTGGAGCACAGAATGGTAAGCAAAATGTCGATGTTGTATGAGTTGTGATGTATATAGCAGCTAGGACATAAGGTCCTATGACAAACTGCACACATACCCTCTGGGACATAATGAGTATATACAGCAAGGGCTTACAGATGGCTGTGTATCGATCATACACCATGACAGAGAGGATGAAATAATTAGTTGTCACAAAGAGACCAAAGAACCACATCTGTGCAGCACAGCCCACAAAAGAGATGGCTTTGTTCTCTGCAAAGATGTCACACTGCATCTTCAGGGCTGTGGAAGAAGAGGAGAACACATCTACAAAGGACAAGAGGCTCAGAAAAGAGTACATAGATGTGTGTAGCCTGGGGTCCCATATGAGAGTGATCATGCCCAGGTTACCCCCCAGGGTGACAAGATAAACAAAGAGAAAGATGGTGAAGAGGATAATCTTCTGATGGAGGTTATCTGTGATGCCAAGGAAGAGAAACTCGGGCACTGCGGTCTGATTATTTTCTTCCATTGGTCAGTTAGGATCTACCAAAAGAATAAAAATTATGCCTTACCAAGTTCAGCCAAGCGATATTTGAAATCAACGTCAACTTGTGCTCAATAAGTCTATTACAGACAACTCAGCAACACTGTTGAACAGTAAGGCTAGATCTAGGCAATCATTCAAAAATCCTATCAACTTCAGTATCTTACTCTTGAGCTCTTTGAATTTTCTACTTCTTTCTCTTCAAGAGTTGGCTAGCATGTGATGCAAAGCTCACTCACATTATAAAATTGTATTATAATTACTTTTTAGTTTTTAACTTACTATGTGATCTGTATTACTTAATAATCATCACTAACAGTTATAATAATTTTAGTTCAATGTTCTTACATTAAGTATTCTGTAACAGATGATTAGAAATATTATTTCCATATACTGAGAAATAATTAACATTCTTAACTTTTATGTCTGTGTAGTTGTACAAATACCCTTCAAAACATTGGAGTTAGCTTACTCTTGATCTCTTTGGACTCTAACTCTTCCCATCAAATAGTGTCTTTTATATTTATATAATCTAAAATATATATTTATATGATCTAAAATCTTTCAGGTTATAAAATAATATTTTAAATGTTAAAAACAAAACTAAACAAAACAAAAAATATACACTGACTGCTTTTTCCAGAGGACCTGGTTTGAAACCTGCCCTCATGTAGCAACTCAAAATTATCTTTAACTCTTAATTGCAGGGGATTCAATTCTTTCTTGTAGTCTCTGCAGGTGCCAGACCCTCACGTGGTACATAGCCATACAGGCAAAACTCCATACACATAAAATATTTTTAAACAATATAAATCAGACTGCAATTACAATATACAAGGTGTCTTAGTCCTTTTATTTTGACCTAGAGATGGATGAAAAACTTATCAGAACCTAGATATTTTGGAGATCATCCACCCCACACAGGTGAGGAATGCCTTCACTGCTGCCAACACCAATGAAATGTTTTCCTTTATAAGAGTTGCAGTGGTCATGGTATCTCTTAACAGCAATAGAAACTTTAATTATGACATGGTCATAAGCCATTGGACCGAGGACTGACTCCATCACCAAACAGAATGTGTTTTCCTCAGAATTAAAGTCAGGGTCTTTTTTTCCCTTTTCTTAGTTCTTGATTACTTGTATTGGAATGACCTTCTTTCATTGTCTTAAGTGTTTTCCAGGTTTATTTAGTGTTTGGTATGAATTTATTTATTTACTTCTTTTTTAAAAGTTTATTTTTATTTTATATCTGTATATGTATGCATACTTCTTTGGAGCATATAAGTGCAGAACACAGAGACCAGAGGATGCCATCACTCCCTTGAGAGTTACAGGCAGTTCTCAGCTCCCCAACATAGAGACTGGGAACTGAGTTTGGATCATCAGCAAAGGCAATATTCACTCTTACCAGCTAAGTCATCTTTCCAAATCCTTGTTTACTTATTGTCTTCATTTTTGTTTAATAATGTAGACCTCCTTAGAAAACACATTCTATGGGGTTACAATGTTGTACTTCTTATTCGTCACTATCACATCTATCTCAGCAGTTACCTGAACTGTATAGTGGTGCAACACATATATAAGCCTTTCATTGGGATATAGTTGCTTTCTACCCAAGGTACAAATTAGGAGTGTGTAATAATTTTTTTTAAAAACTGTTATGTCCAGGATCCACCTCAGAACACTCAATTTAAATGCTCAGAAGTAAAAGGAAGCCATAACAGTTACAGAAACTTCCTGTGAACTTGAGGACTTGTAAACAGAACTGACTCCTCCCTCCACTTCCATGTTTCAGTATTTCAGAAAAATACAAAGTACATTAGAATTACCCATGAATTCTGTTAAGCTGGGCTTCTAATTTAGAACCCTAAGGAACATATTAAATTGCTTCTGGAAGATTCTAGGTGTAGCTAAGGTTTCTGATACATTGTCTAATTTGCATATCTAGGGTGAGAAGATTGTTAAAACCTCACTCTTCTAGTTCTAGTTAAGTAAGGTGCAGCAAACTTAAGCTGCATGGACCTCAGACTTTTATGAAACTGCAATAACTGGGTTAATTGCAAGAGAAAATGGCTATATGAAATCAATACCAACAATATATTACATTCTAAAATAAAAGAAGGAAATAAAAGAGAAAACCTCTAAATTTGAGTTTATTTTAGTGACATTTACATGTTCTTTAACTCCATCATTATAAAGCCAATATCATGGTCATAGTGTGATGGAACTGGATGTGTTTTGGCTGACAATAATACTTGTAAACCCAAGATTCTGTCACAACCAATGATATTTGTCCCACAAACAGAACAAAATGATAATTGGGTTCTTGAAACTTGTGTGACATACAGCCACTGGCCTGGAAGTTTCTTGTCTTTTCACTACTGTGGTGGTACATAAAAGGGAAAGAAAAGTCTTCTAAGAGTCAGTTCAAAGAGAATCTACTCCAGACCACACCCCCTACAAAAAATTGGCAAAAGTTAATTTAACAGTTACCATCTGTTCATAATTGTTGGTGCTTCTATAGCTAACTGAAAATTATTCTCTTGTTTGAATTCCATGAAATGGGGATCTCTTTCTTCTATCTAAAACAGATTCTGAAGGAAATAGGAATGAAACACCATAGAGAAGATATCTGTCTTTCAAAGTATGTTTTCAAATTTATACAGAAGCTGGAAGTATCTTACTTTTTGTTTAATATTTAAAATACAAATGGGGCATGGTAGTACATATAGGCAATCCCATCACTATGGAAGAAGGAGCAGGAGGATCTCTGTAAGATCAAGGATATAATGGTCTATATAGTGAATTTCAGGTCAGCCAGCACTACATAGTGAGGCCTTGTCTGGGAAAAAATAAATTACCAATGACACAGAATGGTCTATTTTACTGTATAAAATACGTAATCATATGTGCTTGTTAATTGCTAGTTATCTACTGAATGTTTCCCTCGGTTCGGGATCTAGAGTGATGCTACCTGGAGGTAATGATGGTGACAACATCCAGAAAGAAATGTTGTCTACACCTGGCATCAAAACAGACAGATGAATGGATTTGGATCAAAGATTGAGACTCACAGACACCTGATTTTTGACAAAGAATCCAAAATTATACAATGGATAGATAAAGCATCTTCAACAACAATGGTGCTGGTCTAACTGGATGTCAGCACACAGAAGAACTCAGATAGATCCATATCTATCACCTTATGCAAAACTCAAGTCAAAAAGGATAAAATACCTCAACATAAATCCAAATACACTGAATCTGATAAAAGAGAAAGTAGGAAATATTGTTCAATGCATTGGCACAGGAGACAACTTCCTAAATAGATCAACAATAGTACAGGTAGTATTGTTGACAACTAATGAATTTAAACTAATTTCATGGAACTAAAAAATTTCTGAAAGGCTGAGAACATCATCAATAGGACAAAATGGCAGCCTACAGAATGGGGAAAACTTCACCAACCCTATATATGAGAGAGGGCTGATTAAAAAAATAAAGAACTCAAGAAACTAGACATCAACAAACCAAATAATCAATTTAAAAATGAGGTATAGATCTAAACATAGAATTCTCAGGAGAAGAATTTCAAATGGGTGAGAAACACTTAAAAAATTGTTCAACATCCTTAGCTATCAGGGAACTGCTTATACCTGTCAGAATATCTAAGATCAAAAACATAAGTGACAGCTTATGTTGGAGAGGAAGTGGAGTAATGGGAACACTCTTAGGTTTCTGCTAGGAATGCAAACCTGTACATCCAGTTTGAAAAACAATATGGAGTTATCTCAGAAAATTAAGAATCAATCTAACTCAAGACCCAGCTATACCACTCGTGGGCTTATACCCAAACAAGTTTCAATCATACTACAAGGAAACTTACTCAACTGTGTTCATAACAGCTTTATTTGTAATACCCAGACCTGGAAACAACAAAGATGCCCCTCACTGGAAGAACAGATAAAGATAATGTGATGTGTGATACATGTACACAATGTAGTATTCCAGAGAAGCTAGGTAACAAGCAGGGTCTAAGAGAAGCACAGGAATAACCCTGGAAAGGGAACATAAAAGATTTCATGGGTGGACCGGGAGTGGGTAGAGATGGGAACATGAGGGATCAGGTTCATCAGGGATCGAGGGAGAGAATACTGAAAGAGATGATTGGAAATGGGGTGTTTCAAGATGAGGTAGAAACCTGGAGCAAAGGAAACCCCAAAAAATATACGAGGATGAACCCAGCTAAGACTCTTAGCAACAGAGAATATGTATCCTGAACTGGCCATCTCCTATGACCAGATAAGACTTTCAGGGACACCAACCCAGCCACAAAACCATTGACATTAAGGAAATATTCAACATCCTTAGTCATCAGAGAAATGCAAATCAAAACAACTGTGAGTTTCCATCTTACGCCTCTAAGTATGGCCAAGATCAAAAACACTGATGACAACTTCTGCTGGTGAGATTCTGGAGGTAAAGGGAACACTCCTTTATTGCTGATGGGAATGCAAGCTGTTTCAGCCCATTTGGATGTCTGTGTGGCAATTTCTCAGAAAATTCGGAAGCAACCTTCCTCAAGACCCAGCAATACCACTTTTGGGTATATATCCAAAGGGTGATCAATCATGCCACAAGGACATGTGCTCAACTATGTTCATAACAGCATTGTTTGCCATAGTCAGAACCTGTAAAGAACCTAACTGTCCCTCGACCGAAGAATGGATAAGGAAAATGTACATTTACACAATGTAGCACTACACAGCAGAAAAAAAAAATGACATCTTGAATTTTACAGGCAAATGGATGCGGCTAGAAAACATCATTTTGAGTGAGATAAGCAAGTCACAGAAAGACAATTATCACATGTACTCACTCATAAGTGGTCTTTAAACATAAAGAAAAGAAAACCAGCCCACAAATCACAACCCCAGAGAACTTATACAACAATGAGGACCCTAAGAGAAATATACATAGATCTA